GACCAGCCCGTGGAGCCCCTCACTGTTCGGGAGGAGCCAACGGCGTCCCAGGACAGGGCCCAGGACCTTCTCTCGTCCGGCAAGGAAGTTTGGGCTGCCACAGTCTCCGAGCGCACGGTTCTCTTCGAGTACGTTAGGAACGCGAGCGGGGGACGCAAGCAGCCCGACATCGTGGCCAAGCTGATCAACCTCCAGGACGCCGACACCGTTGCCGCCTGGAGTCAGAACCGTGCTCTTCCCAAAATTCTGGTTCGGGAGGAAGAAGGACAAATCTGGGTGAGCAGCGAGTTTCTGCAGGCTCGCTGCAAGAAGCTGTCCCTGGAGGAGTCACCGCGGAGTGATGGCCAGCGCGAGAGGTCGCGCTCACCGAGGCGTTGCAAGCACGCCGCCGAGGAGGAGCAGGCCCCGGCCGAAAGGCGAAGCCGTCCTTTGGGCAGAGGCTTGCAAGTAAGGCGGCCGGCGAAGGACGACAAGGCCGAGGATGCCAAGCCGGCCGATGACAAGCCGGCTGAGGCTGCACCGGCTGCCCAGCCGGCCGAGGATGTGGAGATGGCCGATGCCCAGCCGGCCGAGGAGGCCGAGGATGACAAGCCGGCCGAGCTGCGGGACATGTCGGTCCAGGAGCCCGCCGACGCCGAGCAGGCCGAGGATGTGGAGCCGGCCGAGGAGGCCGAGGATGACAAGCCGGCCGAGCTGCAGGACATGCCGGCCCAGGAGCCCGCCGACGCCGTGATGGAGCCTGCGCCCGCGGAGCCCTCGGACTCAAGCGATTCCCAAGGCGATGCTGCAGGGCCGGTGCAGGGCCTGCGCACCACCGACAAGGGCGACGGCTGGCACGAGCTCATGGCCAGGACGCTTGAGGAGTACACGGCCGACTTGGAGATCATCAAGCGCAGGCTGAACGACGGCACCATCGACAAGGTCAGCCTCCGCTGGTCGCCGAACGAGGTGGACCCAGGAGATCTACCACATCAACACCCAGCAGAAGCTGGCGCTGAAGATCGCGAAGCGCTCGGTGCTGCCACGGGATGCTTTAGTCCAGGTGCACGTGGCCTAGCTGAATTTGCCTGTTTTGTCGCGGCCGTCTTTGTACAGAAGGACACGCACAGGAGTGGGCGCCCGGCCGGCGTTTCTATCCCCACTCAAG